CTACGCTTGCAATATCCAATTGGCGCCACGTAGCGAAAAGAAGAAACGACTGGCGCGCTATTGTTAACTCGGYTATAATCGCGTAAGCGGTATCTACGCCAATTAAGAAGAAGAAGAAGGATCCTTTTAGTAGCAAATAAAATTTCTGGCACTGAACGAGGATAAGACGAAATAACTGCGACTACGTTCCCACGTCACTGCTGACAGTCATTACTTCGAAGGTGCTACTTTGGACTGAGTAGGCAAGTGAGAAGTAAAGTCCTCTCTCGAAGAACAAAACCAAACTCTGTAAGTCATTCTCCCGTCCTGCTATATGGTACAGCGGCTTGGACGATGACAACAACTGACGACGGTGCAAGTTTACGAGAGTAAAGTTCTGCGAAAGATTTATGGTCCTTTGCACGTTGGCCACGGCGAATATCGCATTCGATGGAAGGAGCTGTATGAGATATACTATATGACGACATTGACATAGTTCCGCGAATTAAAAGACAGAGGCTACGCTGGCTAGGTCATGTTGTCCGAATGAACGAAAACACTCCAGCTCTGAAAGTATTCGACACTGTACTCGTCGGGGCAAGCAGAGGAAGAGGAAGACCTCCACTCCGTTTGAAAGAAGAGGTAGAGAAGGTCTTGGCTACGCTTGGAGTATCCAATTATCCCGAATTTTTATTCTAACTTTAGAGTTTTCTTTGTTTATATGGACAACAACAATCATTGTAATATTATAATTATTGTTAATGATATGATTATACAATTTTTCTCTTCCTTTGATGTAATTGATATGTACAGTGTCGACCAAAACTCATTGCACTAAGTCGAGTCTTACTCATATTCCGTCAGAACTTTTAACAGCATATGACGAAATATACTCCATTGATAAATGAATTTAAATACGAAATTTGTTCGGTGTCCTCGGAATTCCTGAACTCTTGTCCCTTTCTTTAATGCTTCTGACAGTGGTAGTTTATAATCGGATTTACGAACTGCAGTAGGTGGAGCTTGTTTTGTTGCCGACGACGCTGATGTCTCCATTGCATCCTGATTGTTTCTGATAGATCGTGTTTTCTCTGCAACATACTTAAAAATTTCATTTGCGTTGCATAGGTTTATGTTGCATTTGAGCCTGTTTTACAGACTTAAAAAATCGATTTTTTGAAGTTTTTTTTGGGAGGGAAATAAGTAACTGATTAAGACGAAATTTCTAGGGGTTATAGTTATATATTTAAACATCATCCACAAATTTCTTTGATACGAAATCGTTTACATTTTGCCTTTGGGAAGCAATTGTCATATGCTTCTCGCATGGGCATATGCCAGACGGCGGGCAGGATGCAGGTCGAGATTTCTATCCGAAACAAAAAATTCAAAGAGATTCATATTTGTTAATAACCTATGTTCAAATTAAAATAAAAATTTCAAAGAAAAAGGATAATATTATAAAAAAGTTTAAAATTTGAAAAAAAAACTGATTTTGCGACGAGTAAAACTAGATCTACGCCCTCCCAGCGCCAACTAGCGAAAATACCGGAAGACTTTTTTGGCAACTATATATGTTCAAACTTAACCTTTCTTAGTTTTTTTAGTTTCAATAGAAGATAATTTAATGCCAAAGATAATAAACTTTGCCCCAATTCCATATGACGTTCAGTTTTTTTTTTATCCTGCCCGCCAATTAAGAAAAATCGTAAAAATGAAAAACGAAATTTAACACCCAAATGCGTCTTTATTCATTCAATAACTGTTATTTCTTAAAATCTTTCTTTAATTCGGAACTCATTAAAAACTTTAATAGGATTGCTTTCAAATGTATTCATTTGCAAGTTTTGTCATATTAGTAAACAGTTGATTCGAAATTGGTTTTGCATATGTTCGAAAAGACAAAAATCCAATCAGATTCTGTRACACCATTGAAAATCAGAATTTTTTTGCAATTCTGACAGCTAAGCAATTCTGTCTTGAATTATGCATTTATGCCAAAAATTCTTCCAGTCATCGAAACACTTTTCATAAGCCCTTTTTAGGATGACCTTCAGTTCCTTCACCGAATTTTGTTTTATCTCTTCGATCGACTGAAAGCGGGTTCCACGCAGCAGCAATTTCAGTTTGGGGAAGAAAAAAAAATAATAATAAAGAGCCAAATCTGGTAAATACGGTGGTTGATCGATGGTATGGTAAATTTATTTTTTATGAAAGGGAATTAATGAAGTCATTTCGTACCAACTTAGCACTATGTGGAGTTCTCAAAAATACAGGTATTTCAGTCGTGAGAGCTAGCGTGGTCGTGGTAAAGTGTGATGCGATTTCAAAAAAACATTCAACTATTTGCTTGGAAGTAACTTGGAAGTTGGACGATCTTCTCGAAATTCGTTTTGGAGTGGAGGTCGTAGCCTCGATTAATTTTACCATACCATCGATAAACTGGTTCTTGATGGTGCTTCATCGTCAAAAATTAAATTCATTTGATGAGTTAAAGCATTGTCTTCAATCAATGAAAGATACGGTTAGTGAAAACAAGTTACTAAAACTTTTGGACTTGTTTAATTTGACTGCAAACTTTTACATACAGCCATTTTTGAACATTGTAAGAAATTAGTAATGTTATTAACTCACTTTGGATTGAATGATATAAGTAGCAGATAACATATTTATTATATTAATAGAAAAATTGATTATAAAACTACATTAATGAACGATTTAAATTATATTTGTTCAAACGAATTAATAGATATGGTTCTAAATTTATTTATGTCAATACTTAACCATAAAACAGTTGTGTATGATTTTTCCAAATTAACGACAATATTTAAATTTTTTACTTTACTTCTGATTATAATTTGCTTTTTAATTCTAGCCCTTATTACGGTCTTCAACCCGAATGCATTTTGGTTTAAGTGTTTTCAAAGAAAATATTAAGACAAGTATTAATAGTTAACGGAAAATAGGTAAAAAATAATTTATTTATAATTTATACTATTTAATCTGTTATTTTGAAAAAAATACATAGCAAGGTGAAAATTTGTCGAGCATTTTAAAACATTTGTCTCCTYTTCAGTCACCAATATTTTATCCACTAAGCAAAAAAACTCCCAATACATAAAACCTTCTTAACAACCATAGATATCGTAGTCTGCGCCAGCCCAAAACCAACATTTTTGTCATCGTAATATAAATCAAAACTGATGTCCATTTTAATCATTATTCACCTTTTCCTGAGCAATAACTTAAATTTTTTGCCTGTTTAATTATCTGTCAAATCTTCATTTTTAGGATTGAAATTTTCCTGTTTTAGGTTCGTAATCTCTTTTTTTTTATGTTGGCAACAATGAAAATTCGACTGGAAATAGTTGAAGTTCGTAGTACCAAAAAAAGTTATAAGAAATTTGCTTCAACTTCAATTGAACTAAGTGGAGTTGCATGTCGAGAGTTTTTTTTTTTAACAAAATGACCTTTATAATGTTCAAAAGTTCATATATTGTAAATTGTCTGGAGCCATGCGCACTCAAATGTTTTTTTTTGGGTGGCCGTGGTTGAGTTGCAGTTTACTTCGGCTACTAAACTAACAAGCCATTTCATTTCAAACAGTTAATCGTTTAGGATGTGAGTGACTGTTTAGACATGAAGGTGGTAGTGGGATCTCTACCTGAAGTGAAGTGAGTTTTATGACGACATGGTAAGATAAATAATATTGGATCAGTTTATCAGAAGGATCTAGATTTAGTTTAGTTTCAAATATTCCACAATTCATTTATCATTTTGGGCATTTAACTCGGGTCTTTTGAACTAGCATTGATCATTTGTAGGAGAGTAAGTTCTTTTTATTTTAGAAATTTTTGGTTTAAGGAATTGGATATATATGAAGTGAATCCAAAACCCGAGGGCACAGCTTTGATACTATTGAGTATGAAAATAAATTACCTAAGGGCTATTCAAAATAAATGCTTGTATTGTTATCTTGTAATTTCTTCCTAAAGGCGAACAAAGCGATATTCCAAAAGCATTCATTGGTATTGCTGAAACCACTTTGTTTAGTCCAGTTACTTGGGGAGATACACACCAAGTGGGTAAATTCAAACGTCGTTGAAGTTTTTTAAATATATATCCATAAGACTAAATTGGTGATTCAGAATATCGTTAACACATTTTAAATATGAATTTAAAACCAAGCTACCATAAATGCAACGAAGGAATTTTAAAATTAAAAGAAGAGCCGGACTACGTAACTCGGTGCCCTTCGTATCTTCTCTCCGCCTCTCGCATCAATAGTTTTGGATGTGAATCAGCACAAACTCTGCATTCTTATAAGTTAATAGTTTGTAAAATTTCATAAAATGCTTTCCCATTATACATGCCAATAAAAATCAATTCGAAAACTTAGACATTTAACGCGCAGGAATATATAAGTTTCATTACAATAATAGAAATCAATTCATTCATTTTACAAAACAGAACGAAATAATTTTCAATGAATTTTATTGTTTTCTATTTCTCAATATTTAATTTTAAAAATACTTGCAACAATTTTATTAATGTTACCAAATACTTTCAACCGTAATTCTTCGAAATGTAAATCTAAAAGCCCGGGTAAAAACACTTGAGTTTCCTCGGGTAAAACAGTCTTTGTTCAACAATTTTTTTCTTTATTAGAATTTTTTATTGTTACCAATATACACTATTAATAAGAAATTCGGAAATTTTTGGAAATAGAAATTATATTATTATGTAAAATTTTGACAATATTCTAGATGTGTTGTAAAATTTAATAGGGCAATAAAAAAAAACAATTTTTGAAACCCGCAAACACATGAAACCTCTTAATATCAGCGTTTTCGAGAAATGCTGGTCATATTAGCAACCACACGCAAAGACAATTTCAGTTTTAGTTATACTTATAGGGATACTTAAATGTCACTTCTGTTTAACTTTTTTTGGAGTAATATAGTATATATTTTTTGTAATATTTTCAAAATACTGTAATAATGAATTTGTTTATTTCACAGTGAAGAACGTCCCAAACGATCGTATTCAATTGGAAGTAAGATAGACAAGAACAAAATGAAACGATCGGGAAATTCCAACGAGATTTTACTTGACAAAAATATTATCCGAGTCCGGGCATTTTCAGTTGGATCTCGGGCAAAAATTCCCAAATGTGACTTACAGCGTGCTGTTTTATTTCCGAGATCCCACTTTAATCAGAGTTGTATTAGCAACAATAGTTTGAATTTTGGTGCTGAAGATACTGGGTATAAATTGGATTTAAACACGAATTGTGATAAAAAGTCAACGAGTGCTCCTATATTAGTCCACAATAGTCAAGTATCTGTGGATTGTATGAGCGATCTAATGGAAATAGATTTTTCGAAAAGTTCTAGCCATAAAACAAATGGAAAAGCTGTACATGTCAGTGGAAAGGGTTCTGATATTTCTTTAAACGAAGTAAAGAATTATCAGACCTCAAAACCCATTGGCGAGTTGTTACAAACATTTCCGCTTAAAAAAGTAAATCCTGAAGAAAGTGGATACTTGGAAATGAAGCCTTTGAACAACGAATTAGGTTCCATGAATAAGCCTTCCCTATCGCATTCAAACGAATGCTTTGCTGATATAACAAGAGTAAGTGACATTACATCTCTATCATGCGTAAAAAGGAAGGAAGCTCAAATCTCCTCCCACGGCAACTATCCATTTGAGGAAAAACTCGCAAATAATAAAAAAAATAATTTGTGCATGCCTACTAAAAATCTGGATATTGTATTCTGTGAAGAAAATCGAAATGATCACTTGGAAGAATTAAAACTTGATAGGACTTCTACTTCTAATTCTGAGGATATTACTTATCTTTCGTGCATATATTCCCAACTTTCAGTTCAACCAACTTCAAAAACTATTAATGAAACCGACTCTGAAAAGAGTATTTCTATGGTTGATACGGAGAAAAAACTTAAAACTACAAAACACATATTCCATGAGGAATATAGTACGAAATGTTCAGTGCTAGACAACGTATATGGCAAAAATAACAGATCTAAAGAAGCCGAATACTTTTCTAACAAAGAGCGAATATTGCCAATAACAGAAATAAATGAGAGATATTCTGTTTCATTAAACGTGCCTTCCTTGCCATTAGCTCCATTGTCCGACGCCAGCAAACTTTCATCAGTCGCTCGATTCAACGGTGCTCCAACATTATTGTCCGTTATAGATAATAGAGAAAGCGAAAATGTTCTACCGAACTGTATAAACCAAAATAAAACACAGCATATTACCACGCCTACATCTTCAACTGCTTGCTCCAGTTATGAATTATATTACGCAAAGCTAGATTTGCCGCAATGCAGTACCAAAGACAATGCGAAATTCCAAAAAATTGAAAATGTTGCTTCTCCAACAATAAAGGCAGAAAATGATTCATATGCTAAAATAGATTTTGATCATTCTTCGGATTCATCATCTTCTTCTAAAACTTTAAATAATTGAACCAACGAAAATTATATTTTGTTAAATACTTAAATGTAAATAAATTACTCCCAATTATTCATTCGTATATCTTTTATTACGATAATAAGAGTTATGTAAGAACGATAGAAATGTATTAAGTAAATGGATAAAATATGAATGCATTTTATTGAAAAATAAAAAAAATATGTGTTTTACTTTTTTGGTTATCTTTGTAAAATAATTCTATTTCTAATAAAATTTTAACAGTCTTTGTTTAATTTCAATTAATTATAGTAGTGTTTCGGTTAAAAATAAGCAAATTTTTCCTTTTTTACCTGTTTTCATAATAATTTTTGATGTAAAAGAGAACCAAATTTGATACTATACTTTTTTAATTAAGAACAATTTATAAATTTTTTAATTCTGATTTTGGGGTTAAAAAGGAAATTTCTGAAGAGTTTGGTTGCAGGACAGCAACTCATAGTAGATGATTCCCTGTCAATCTCATCAAATGCATAGCAAAGCATGGCTGGCTGAGAATGTTAGTTTACTTTTTCGTTTGACATTGTCGTAAGTTAGTTGCTTTTCAGTACATGAAACCATCTGCTGGTTCAATTTTGTCAGAATTTAGCAGCGATTTGAAGATGGGAATACGGTCTATATTTTTTGTGTCAACTCATGTGGTACTGAGAGACCATGGATAAAATTTATTTTTATATCCAGCATTATTTAAGGCAACCATTTAATGGTTGAATATTTTTATTTGTTTAATTATTAGCTCCTTCATAATTGAAACTGTGCTTACGTGTACCGGACTCAATTCGACGATTTCAATTATTTATCAATATTTTCGAAATGGCGACACAGAGCACATGCATTTACATATGTATGTATCAAAATCATAACCACTATGAACAATTTCAACCGCTCCTGCTACAAAATTCGGCACAATTCCGATTTCTTTGGCGCCGCGATCTGAAGGTAACGTTGGAAAGAGGAAGTGCTTCTGATTAAAAAATACATAGGGTTATAGGTACCGCAAACGCTTAGTTTAGGCAAATTTTCGCAAAATTCTTACATTTCAATAAGCTATTTCATCACAATAAACACACTTTATTCACATTTTTCACTTCAAATTAATTAAATTACACTATAAACTTGTAAAATCCATATTTTACACTTTTAGCAGGTTTTAAAAATTACATTTACACTCGTTTGAACCTCATTTGTTTACCAAAAATTACGACGAAATGGAGCGCTGCCATGTATGATGATCAGGCAATTCGCTAAAATTCCTCTGATCATGTATATGGATATTTTCTTTTTTAATTTTATTAAGCAAATAAGTAATAAAATATGCAAGTATTAGTAATATTATATAATAATTTTACGTATTCGCTCGACCAGGGTTATTTTTTTAGAGCGCGGACGAAGGCCGCCAACACAGAAAGGAGCACTTCAGTCATCTCGATATGATATAAATTTTATAATATTATCATAGAGTTTTAGTTATTTGTGTTTATTAAATATAAATCACATACACATACATATGTAGATGGAAAAAGTGTTCACAACTCAATTATAACTTAAAAAATGTTGGAAAGTATTTTTTATTGTAATTTATATAGAAAAAAGAATCACGCAAAAAAACAAACAAAGAGAAATCATTAAGAATCCTACATATTTGGTGTTTAAGATGTGGCAACGCTCGTTTTCCTCATAAATGTAAACAATCTAACCTTTGCAGCGACGAGTGAGATAAGTGATTTTTAAATTAATAAATTTAGGTAAAATATTANGTATTCGCTCGACCAGGGTTATTTTTTTAGAGCGCGGACGAAGGCCGCCAACACAGAAAGGAGCACTTCAGTCATCTCGATATGATATAAATTTTATAATATTATCATAGAGTTTTAGTTATTTGTGTTTATTAAATATAAATCACATACACATACATATGTAGATGGAAAAAGTGTTCACAACTCAATTATAACTTAAAAAATGTTGGAAAGTATTTTTTATTGTAATTTATATAGAAAAAAGAATCACGCAAAAAAACAAACAAAGAGAAATCATTAAGAATCCTACATATTTGGTGTTTAAGATGTGGCAACGCTCGTTTTCCTCATAAATGTAAACAATCTAACCTTTGCAGCGACGAGTGAGATAAGTGATTTTTAAATTAATAAATTTAGGTAAAATATTACAAAATGAAATTTATATTTGAACTTATTTCAATGTTTGAAGAGTACATTTAAACTTTTAATCGTGAATATTTTTAAAAATATAAGTTATTTTTATATTACTTTTGGATATTCCTCCCCTGGACCCGCTCCCCTATCCGCACAATTTATACGGAAATTCGGTTTGTTTGCCCCTCCGCCAAAGTAATCGGAATCGTGCCCAAAATTCTGGTTCCTAAATTAATTTTTTATCAAAATAATTAGATTAGCATTAATTTTGCAAAATAACCCTTTTCCGTTTAGCAGTCCTGGCTTTGAAGAAGTTTTGTTTGATTTGTGTAAAAAAACTTCGGTAGCAACATCAAAAAATCGTTTTGCATACAACAGCGATGGGCAAATTTTTAGCCCGCAAAGTTAGCAAAGTGCGAACGAGGGCTAGATAAGGTGAATATCAGTATGCGGAAGGAAGCGCATACATTCATCGCAGGATCATGGATAAGATGATACGAAACTCTTTGATTCGARAGGAAGCTGTCAAAACTCACATTCTTTATAACATTTGCCAATGAAGCCACTGCTGAAAGATATTGTATTGGGTATTTTATAATCAACTTTTGGGTACTTTGCAATTTTCACATTACCATATTATCTCCTGTCGTCATACAAACAGTCGTCGCACTCGTGACTTTGCACTCACGTCACTGTTAGCTTTGAATATAATTTCGTCTATCTTGGAACCAGCTTAAACACCACCAAAAATGTCAGCCTAGAAATCCAACAGGGGATAACTCTTACCAACAGGTGCTACTTCGGACTGAGTAGGCAATTGAGAAGCATAGTCCTCTCTCGACAAACAAAAACCAAACCCTATAAGTCATTCATAATTCCCGTCCTGCTATATGATGCAGAGGCTTGGACGATGTCAACAACGGCTGAGTCGACGTTGCGAGTTTTCGAGAGAAAAGTTCTGCGAAAGATTTATGGTCCTTTCCGCGTTGGCCACGGCGAATATCGTTGTCATAGTTCAGCGAATTAAAAGACAGCGGCTACTCTGGCTAGGTCATGTTGTCCGGATGGACGAAAACACTCCAACTCTGAAAGTATTCGAAGAGGAAGACTTATAGTAATAATTACATAGATATATATTACGACCACACATTTCTTTATTTTTGGCATTTTCGATAAATTATACTATATACTAAATTAAGCACTTTGAAAATGCATATATAAATGTTAAAACGCAAAATTATTAATTAATTTACATAAACATTTATTTTATCTAAATATATTCGCACACTTCAGTGAAATTTCAATTCACACTGATTTTGTCAGTTAATTTTAGAGGTTTATTTACGGCATCCTGCCTTTTCTTATATCACCTGTTCGAAATTCCCTGATCTCCATCTCCATCTCCGAATAATCAGGGAACGCGTTTGAGAAAAAATGAGAGACAATGCGAGAGTTTCGTATCATTTTATCCATGGCAGGATGGTTGCGGCAATACTGAAATTGTACAAGTTAACATAGCACAGTAGCCCATAACAACAAGTGCAGTTATGCCTGTGATTGCAACGCAAACAAAAACATCAAAGGTGCGAGGCTAATGTTGCAGACATAACAACGGAAACGCTTGCCAATAGCAAACGGCACCAACAGTCCCAAACCGTGTTAATTGCCGAATCAGCATTATGGAATCATGCGGCAGAACACGAAAAGTTAGTTGTTACAACTCGATCGTCGAGAACGACTGCCCTACATAGGGAAATAAAAATAATTTAAACCAAACCTCGTGTTTTATTTACTAACGGCCACGGGGCCACGCGAAAAAGTCCTTATAAAGGATAAATCATTGTAGCCGTGGGTTCAAACCCATTTTAAACAAAAAATCTATTTACGTGAAGTTAAAATAAAATTCGTATTTTGAAGAAAACTATTTACGTGAGGTTAAAATCCGCATTTTAAACAAAAAAAATTATATATTTACGTGAAGTTAAAATAAAATTTGTATGGAGAGAAAAAATAAAAACAAAACCGTTTATTTGAAATAAAAAAAAAGCTATTTTTTGAAACTGAAAAAATAAAAAAACCGTTTATTTTAAATCAAAAATAAATAGCTACTTTTGTGAATTTTTAATTCCAAAAAAAATTCATGTGAAAAGAAAAACAATGCAAACTAGCAGAAACTATGATTCGAATTCAAAGCGATTCCAGTGGAAAGAGAAAAACTGCAACCCGGCATCAAGGAGATTTGTGAAGCATGAAGAGAACTTCAGGGACAGTACTTATTTGGACATGGAGCTGTAAGTAGAGTGCTCATACCATAATGTTTAGAATAAAAAGGTATAAAACATTAATTTATAATGATTAATACTATAACAAGGTGACAGAAAAAGTTAAGAATATTAGCTGCAGGAAAATTATTACAAGATATTTTTTCTGCAGACAATAAACATTATCTAACTTGTGAGAGAAAGTTTTTGAAATTTTCAATAGTTCAATCAATTTAATCTATTGCAATAATAGACATCAAAGAACCCTTAATACGAACTTTTTCAAAGATACTAAAAGCCTTGTTTGTGACAACGAATAATCACTGAATTCCGTTACGATAAAAAGTCTGCTTAAAAATCATTTTAATATTTCCATATTTACGACACCCCCACATCATAGCACAACAAATGGACAGGTAGAACGATTTTAGTCGTATTAAACTAAGCCAGGGACTTAATGACACGAATGACCTTATTCTACTCGCAGGCTACAAATACAATATAACGATACATTCAGTAACTGAGCAACGACCTATTGACGTGATTCATTCTGCTTCATCAAAATACCTTGATGAAAGGTGAAAAAATCTTTCTTAAATCTAACAAAAGATTGGGAAACAAATTAAGCAAACTGTACACAGAAAAAGTAGTAGAAAAGGAATTGGGCACAACCGTTTTAATTAACGGCAAAAAAAATTCTGATCCTGA